CCCCAAAACCCCAAAACCCCAAAACCCCAAAACCCCTATCCAATTTTCCCAATTGAATAATAGGTACTAATATGAATTTCTTATTTCAACTAACCAAGGTAGGTACTATTAGAATTTGGGACTCAATAGAATTTTCACCGCAAAAACTCAAACAATGGTGTCACCTACTGAATGAGCAGAAATTGATGGAAACATTGCAGGTTGATAAAAATACCCAATTTTCAAATCACCCTTAGTATTTTCCAAGAAATATTAAAAGAAATACATATGAATTATAAAATACGTCGCTGGTACGATGAGTTTACTTCGAGTCAGAATCATGAAAATCCTCAGTCATAGCGAAGGCTTTGAATTTAGCTGCAGAAGAATCTCCACTGTTTCTCCTCTGCAAAGCGATCTTTTCACTTTTATTGAGAATCCATGGGTGTTGTAAAACAGATGATAAGTCCATTCTGTCATCCTTTTCCTTCTCAAGCAGACTACTGACAAGTTCTATTGTTGCCTTATCCTTTTTCTTCCAAATCTTATAAGAGAAATCAGGCTCATCTTGAAGAGTCTGCCTTGCTATTTCCCGATCATCTTCGTCATCAAATGGAAGGGTTCCTGAAATCAACAAATAAATGATTACTCCGAGACTCCACAGATCGACACTCTTGTCATAAGGTTTTTGAAGTAGTACTTCTGGAGCAACGTACGATAATGTTCCAAATGGATCATTACATGTCTCCTTAGGTCCTATTATCTTCGATAGGCCAAAATCAACCAACTTTGGAGTGGCATCGTCACTATCATCCGTCATCAAAATATTTTCCGGTTTCAAATCGCGGTGAGCTATTCCAAAACTATGAAGGTAAAAAATCCCTGTAGTAATGGAGTGCGAAAGTTCACTGGCTTTTGATTCAGGAATCTTGAAGTTCCTCTTCTCTAGGTATGTGAACAGATCTCCTCCCTTGCAGTACTCCATTACAATGTAGATGTAATCATGGTTTTCAAAAAGATCAAGGAGTCTGATAATACTTGGATGTTGACAGATTTTCAAAATTTCTATCTCCCTTTTCTGCATAACAATATCTTGCATTGACATATTCTTCTTCCTCATAATTTTAATGGCAACCTTCTTCCCGGTCTTCAGGTGCACACCAAGTTTGATGGTGCCAAACTTGCCCTTACCAATAGCGTGCTTCACTTCGTAGTAATCGTAAAGGTGAGCATAGCCAATGGCCTTTTTAATCTTCGCAACCCACTCATCTCGTGATTTCTTTGATAGGAGGAAGAAAGTTCTCTCCTTGTTAGGGAAGATTAGTGTGAAGGGATACAGCACATTCTTCTGATCAAGAGGCTCCTTCTTCTCTACTCTCAAAAACACTCCAATAAGGTTGATCATTGTCTTATGTACCTTGTCCTTTTGAGTTTTGTATACATAAAATTCTTTGTCAAATAGGCGGTAATAATACTTTTTATACCTATCCTTGCTAGCTTGGCGCATCATTTCTCCTTCATGCTCGATTGCTTCCTTAGTTGTAGGACTTGATTCATTTTCTTCTTTGATACTTTTGGTACCTTTCAGGAAGGAAGTTGGAGAGGCAAACAAATTCCTTCTATCCTTCCCGAGCAAGCTCTTCGGATCAGAGGCTTTGTTAGCAAGCCTTACTAAGTCATGCTTTGTGGTTGGAGACACAGACTCTTCCTTAGTGGAGTTTGAGGAATCCTCTCCATCTTTCTTGTTCTTTGAACCAAATTTTTTCAAATCAATATCTTTTTCTTTGATTCATGAAGTGAATTCTCCAAATGTATCTTGTGTCATAACTTTTCTCAAATGACTAACTGGAGAAGAGAGGTCTCCACAACTATGCTGAGCAAGAGGAGATAAGGACTTGAGAATATTAGGAGTTGGGATAGACTTCTGACTCCTTGTCTCTACACACAGCCCTCTGGTATTTAATCTCTTCATTTCCTCTTGTTCCTTGTTTTCCAGAAACTCTTGCTGGATTTTATAAAACTTTTCACTACATGGTAATTTCTCTTTGATCAAAGTCAGAACTATAACGAGCATATCTGAGCTAATAGTTTCATTAATCTCTTGGAATTCATCAAGGTTTAGACTATCTTTGTCTTTAAAAGCTAAATCTAGCAGTTCAGAGATTTCTTCCTGTATTTTAATCCGAGTATCAAAACCCTCGCATGTCTCACCAGACTGTGAGAAAGCTCCTTCTTTTACCTTTTCCTCCCCATCTACATCCTTCAGAATTGGGATATAAGAGAGAATAATGCGGACGTCTTCCTTGGTAATATAGCCATCACAGTCAAAATCATAGATCTCAAAAACAAGTTTTACCTGTTCATCAAATTGAGAGTAATAAATCTGAAACAGGACGTAAATAAACTCCTGTACGTCAATATATTCGTCCTTGTTGTCATCAAGGAGGGAGAAGAATCTGTCTGCCAAAACTCCTGGAAAGTGTCAGTATTCAATAATAGTGACCTTATTAATACCAGCAGCCTTATTATCAGATCTAGAAGCCAGATCTTTATAAATATCCCTAAAGTAGGGAACAACAGCTTCTCTTTTGAACTGCTCGGACTCTATCTCTGAGAAATCAGGGATAGTCAGTCTTTCGAAGCTCAAATCTGCACTTTGGGGTGATTCCATTTCTAATGATAAATTTCAATGATTCAAGCCACTTTAAATAAAATGGGGTTTTGGGGTTTTGGGGTTTTGGGGTTTTGGGG